TTACCCGCCTAAGTATGGGCACCCGGGTTAAGATATAATTTGCGCGAACAATTCCAGACCGATCTGAGATTACCCAAGTCTGAATTTACCCGCCTAAGTATGGGCACCCGGGTTAAGATATAATTTGCGCTAACAATTCCAGACCGGTCTGAGATTACCACAGTCTGAATTTACCCTCCTATGGGCACACAGATTAAGATATAATTTACGCGAACAATCCCAACCCAGTCTGAGATTACCCCAGTCTGAATTTACCCACCTATGGGCACCCGGGTTAAGATATAATTTGCGCGAACCATCCCAGACCGGTCTGAGATTACCCCAGTCTGAATTTACCCACCTATGGGCACCCGGATTAAGATATAATTTGCGCGAACAATTCCAGACCGGTCTGAGATTACCCCAGTCTGAATTTACCCTCCTACTGCCAGACTAATCTCAGACTGTGGCCGCGGCCGTCTCATTATCCAGCGCTACTGCGCATGCGTACGAGGTGCTGGGGGGTAATTTCAGACTGGAGTAATCTCAGACCGTGACACCGGCAAAAACAAAAATCCAGGCATTAGGCCCTACTCGTTGAATACAAAACACTTCACCTTATTATAAGTCTGTACAGTTGGTCCTTTTGTTTGTAGCCAGGTGCACCTGTTATACTAGTAGACATGTCTACATTTATCAAAATGCAATTAATATTCACTTTATTGTGATGCTATCGATATCAAACGATGTTAAACCATAGATTAACTCAAATCAATCAAAACAACGCTTTTCTGTGGGAAACCTTGTTGCGTAGAAAACATAGCCTATTTCCTAGCATCAGCATCATGATCATGATCACGGACACGCTGTCGAATTTACGTCTCTTACATTTAGAGTATTCTTTAAATATTTTAATGTTTACCCATATTACAATTGTACAGCACATATATATTCAAGTTTGTATTTAACTAATTTGTATGAATTTTACTATTGTAATACAGTTTTTTGCGATATGATAACTCTCTGATCGTCCCGAAAGGTGGCGCGACCAACTGTACAATATATTAATGGCAACGAAAAGACATGGAAACCTAACAATTTTCACAGTGAAAAACGCTCGTGTTGGCTGGAGACGGCGTGAGCGTAGTTCCCAAGATGGAGGATCCTGATGAGCCATCATTTAATTCTCATCTGCGAAATGTTCTGAGGAGTTTTCGTGCCAACTCCATGAATAGTTTGAGTGGACCTGCCGGATGTTCATCAGCATGGAACGAACAGATGCAGGGCGTGCTTGCGTCGACGTCCACCCGCAGAGAACCGGGCGAGGTAACCGTAGTAAAAACCGAGCCCGTCTTCACGCAGGCGCAGCTGGAGTTCTCCATGACGCCCCCCGATCTTCGCACCGTGCAAGTACCGCTCCTCTACCAGCAAGATCAGTCGCGCAGCGACCGACAGGAGACGGTGCTCGAGAGCGAGCTGATCTCCTGCTTTATCGTCGGCGGCGAGAAGCGACTCTGTCTGCCGCAGATACTCAACAACGTGCTGAAGGAGTTCTCGCTGCAGCAGATCTACGCCGAGTGCGACGACATGCAGATCTTCTGCTCGCGCTGCAACCAGGAGCAGCTCGAGATCCTCAAGATCTGCCGCATCCTCCCGTTCTCCGCGCCCAGCTGCGGACTCATCACGAAGACCGACGCCGAGCGGCTCTGCAGTCGGCTGCTGCACAGCAAGCCGCCGAAGGCCGCGGCGGCGGGGGCGGCAGCGACGGGGGACAGTTTCCGTGTCTACCACGAGTGCTTCGGACGCTGCTCGGGCGTTTTCTCGCCCGAGAACTACGTGAGCGCGGACGCGGACTGCATGGAGTGCTGCGAGTGCGGCGGCGTGTTCACGCCGCGTCGCTTCGTCGCGCACTCGCACGTCCCGCAGGAGAATCGGACATGCCACTGGGGCTTCGACTCGAGCAGCTGGCGCAGCTACCTGCTACTTGCGCACAGCCAGAAGGACATGGAGCGACTCGGAGAACGGCTGGAGGAGATGAAGGACAAGTTCGACATTTCTTCGCGAAAACGCAAACAGGTAGTTTGTGGTCGACGCGACGATTTTTGTTTGCGATAATGCAAACGGGTAGTTTTACGCGTTTGTTAGCGGCCGTTGTGATGGCGGCGAACTGCGTGTGGCACTGTTTTTATAAAAAAAAAAAATTATGTTAATTATAATCTTTAGCTATGCGTTTGTGAGACTCGAGTTTCACCGCGGTTTTGATGGCGAGTGCGATATCCGTGACAAAAAACTGCCTCGGCTTCTCTACCCTTGTTTACCTCCATTCCTTTCCTATAGCGGACGTGTTTAACCTCCTTTGTCTCGTGAAAAAATGTTAGAAAGTTAATAACCTAGATAAATAACCATTCTTTTTAGGAATGTTTGCATTGGTGCTTCAGACGTCGCCGTGTGAGAAAACCACGGCGCATAAAAAAAGGCGCTGTCATTTACTCGACGGGGCAGATTTTTTTAAACTAATGAATTATGTAATAAAAGCTTTGAAATCTCAAAATTTGACGGCCCCGTGAAAAGGCGAAGCCTGGTGCTTGTGCAAATCGCAATTTGGTGTACTAACTGACAGCATTTGTGTATAATCCAAAGGCAACAATTGCATTGCCTCAAATATTTAAAATTCAACTCTTATATTTATAATTTCACCTTTCTGAGAAAGAATTTCTGCATTTTCCACAGAATGTAGATAGTAGAGATGCAGCAAAGAGAACCAATTCTGGTGAAATCATGCAATACTATCATCCATACGGTTTATGGTATCAGCAAAGGGCAGCATTGTTGTCATCGTGGGTTGGTGCTGCAATTGGCAAAGACGGTTGCTACCCTGGAGAGAGGTAAAGCAAGTTTGCATGTGCAATGAAAACTCATATATTTAAAACATTAATATGTATAGTATATGGTTTGTTTGCAAATACACTATCTATCATTAAGAAAATAACATAATGTCTGTTAGGCTCTTATTATGTAGAAATTGGATTGGCAATGATTGACTTGGCTTATTCTGTTTAAATACAGAGGCTTGCATCCTTTCCTGAGCAATGGGCCACCAGTTCTGCTGAATCCAGACCGTGTTGTTAGGAGCACGGAGATCTCAAGGTAAACTCTCGAAGTTCTTATTCGAAACGTGTCTTCCATGTGTTTGATCTGTGGTCTCACTTGGGAACATTTGTGGACACACTATGGAAACGCTTGATGTCAGTGTTTATTACGCATTGTAATGTGCAACTTTTAGTCCATTCTACCGTTAGTTCTTATACTGGGGTTTTTGAATCACCTCGACAGTACATCTGACAAAAAATACGAATGATCTATATACATGTACGCTCTTCGTTAAAGTCCTATGTTTTCAGCCGCTCTTGTATTGTTGATTATTAAGTACCACCAGTGCATACACTTTTACCTATGCACCATCAATCTAAGTGTTTCTGAAACTCGATATCATTTAAAGTAGCTTCGAACGGCACAATGCAGAACTCAAATAAGCAGCATACATAAAAGATTGTGATTTTCTTGTTAACGGATTTATTAGTGACCCCACTTAAAAGTGCTAAGAGCAGACGATAGCAAGCTACCTTGTAATCCTTACAGGTTTGGATCCACCTACCAACCAAACGTCTCTCTAAAGCCACCGGCGCAGCCGCAGGACAACAACGGCAGCAAAAGCAAGACGCAGTCAGACGTCACGCAGTCTCCGCCGGAAGTGCAAAGATCGCCGACATCGAACGGCAACAGCGACCCGAGCCAAGAGGCGGCGGCGGCGGCGGAGCTGACTCAGCGTCCGTCGGAGAGCAGCGCGTTCAGAGATCGCCTGCCGAGCGCGAAACCCGGTGCGGCGACACCGACGCAGGATAGATCCGGGGAGGAAGACGCGGGCGGAGGAGGAGGAGGAGGAGGAGGGTCGCCGGACGCGGAATGCGGCCGCCGGACGAAGACTCGGGCGGCGCGCGGCGGACGCAGCTACGCGTCGATGCCGGAGAAGATGCTGACGCCGAAGAAGAGGGCGCTGAGCGGGAGCAACGCGACGACGACGGGGACGCGGACGGAGACGGGGACGGGGACGGGGACGGGGACGGGGACGGGAACGGGGACGGGGACGGGGACGCGGACGGGGACGGGGACGGGGGCGGGGGCGGGGACGGGGACGGGGACGGGGACGCGGCGGTGTGGTGAGAAGATGGATGGGCGGGCTGAGGAGGAGGAGGTGCCGATGGAGATAGCAGGTGAGCGGTGCGTGCTAGCCGCGGCGGCGCGGCGTGACGCCCGGGGAGCGTGGGTTTACTCGTGGCGCGGCGAAGCAAGATATTGACAGCTTGACACTTTCCTTGGAAGATTTTGTGAGATTGGTCGATCAAGCTAAAACCGATATGTATGTGCCATCCAGTGAAAAAAATACACGGGGGCTCGGGGCGATTTAGCCCCCGAAATGCCAAAAAAGAGCCCCCGTAAAATTTGCATAGAGTTCAATGCAAACCCAAATTTTAGAGTGCTATTTCCATGCACGCGAGCTTGAAAAGTAGCCCCAGAAAAATCAATTATATTTTTTCCCTGGTGCCACAGTGTATGCGTCCCATGCGTGCATGCGTGCCATGCGCCATGCGCGTAAATTCCATGCGTGCATGCGTGCCATGCGTGCTGTGTGCCAATGCGCCGTAAATTCCAACTTTGGCGGCACTTTCGAAATGTCTGCAGCACTTTGTTTCTAAGCAACGTTTTGGAGTGCCTCTATTGCAATACTGACTAGAGCTGCGTCTCAATGCTACCAGGCAGATAGGTTGACTGTGCGTACCTGCACTCCACTACGTTTGCAAGCGGAAGTAAAAGCGAAGGCGAAACGGCGACGAGACGTTTCCGCGCGCCGCCTAGAAATTAGTCGATTCGGCGGTTGCCGACGGAAGTACCGACGTCCGCGCTCGTTTGTCGATCGTTGCAGATGCGGATGCTACGGAGGATGCGGGGGATGAGTGCTACAGCATCACGTCGGAGATGAAGGCGGTTGAGGCGGCGCTGCAGGACGTCATTGACTCTCCGCATAGACAACGATAAGCGAGAGTGGCTCTTCGATCGACATTCATAACGCGCAAGG